GGCTGCCTTCGATCGAAGCCGTGGAATTCCACCGGAAATAGACCATCCGATCGAAAGCGTGAGCGTGCGCGAGCGCGTGCGCGTGCGCGTTCTACTTGACTCGTCGCTCATCGCATGTCACGCTATTTGTCGCGCCCTGCGAGCGCGAGCCGTGGTCGTGCTGTCGCGTGCACGGAATCGGGGCGTCGAGGATGCCCTTTCCATCGCTATCGCCTCGGCGTCATGTTATCGTCTTGCGAATCGCGATGGCTACGCACCGCTCTCCCCACAGCGCCCACGCCGAACCCTCGGCAGACCGGACCGGACGGAATCCAACTGCCGAAAGGCTAATCACGACGCGCGCGGCCCTTTTCTCGTTGCCGCTGACAAAAACAAACCTTGTGAAGTGAAACTAGAGAGGGAATGGAGTATTTTTACAATAATAATAAAGAAACCAATCAGCATCTTCTTTTAAAAAACAGTGGCACGCTTTTGTGTGTTCCAATTTCTTCTGGTGTACGTCCACCGACCAGCTCTGCTCATAGCTTTGGTCCTTGGCTTCAACCAATATATTTCAACTTGTGCACTCAAGTTTGTGCAAATACAATCATTTGGTCTATATCCGGTTGAGCCAAAAAATAACTTGACCTTTGACAAAAAGTTCTATATTCTTACGCGCAGGTCATTTTCAATGCCACTCACTAGACAAAACTTTTTTTGTTCATCCGAGAAGAGTACGCTACGCCAGACCGAAGTTGGAGTGAGCATGTCATATTATAGAGACAACAGCTATGAATATCTTCACCAAAAATGGGGATGGTTATCTAATAATAGCTTAATGCCTATGCTTTTTCCCTAGTGTGCGTATTGGGCCTTTTGAGAGCTTACTTTTATCAGCAAGAGGTTAAAATTGTAATAAGGATTGGTTGAGCGCCTAACCTAACTTATGTAGAGCCCTAGAATAAAACTATTTTTTTCTAAAAATAAACAATTAAAATGTAGTAGTAACAACAACTAGTATAACTAAGGGATTGCCTGGTACATTTGCGCAATGCTGTGTAACCTTGCTAAGCAAGGATTTGGAGCAGATAATTTATTTGGTTAGCGGACAAACAGACCTTAATATGTGCTATCAATTTCTTTCTTTCTTTCTTTTTGCTGTTGTGACTTTTGAGAGAGCCAATTAATTTGGCTCTCTTGGATGGTCAAGTCTCTTGTTGTTTGTGCCACCTAAGCAAGGAGAGCTAGCTACGAAACAAAGCAGCCCCTAAATCCCTCACCCATATGACCCCATGTAAATATGTGATCCATGAACGGCCTCATCCATTTTAGCCCACAGCGTCCGAAGAGATCAATTTCATGTTTAGCCCATGTCATTACAAATCTTGGGCCAGACAGATGACGCGGCCTGCGGCCCATAAGGCCTCGCGCTTGTCGATAGGTCGACTTGCGTTGATAGTTGAGTGCAGTTTGGAGCCCAGCTGCTACGTGATGGGCCTCAGTTCTTTTCTGATGGATTTCAACTTCTCAAGGCCATGGACATGTCAGAGTCCGTTTGCAGCCGATCTGCGGTTTAACGGACATCATGGGCCACAACCGTGTGAAGCTACATTTTTCCTAGTTTGGTCCACAGATACACTCGGCCCAAGTAACTAACGGCCTCAAATTAAGGACGGGCTTGCTAGACAAAACTTATTACTATATTCAAAAAAGCATATTCTTCCCTCAAAAAAAGAAGAGAAACTTAAATCTTGTCAAGTACGTATACTAGCTAATCTGTATAGCATAGTCATATGTTACAATCAAAAGGGACTGAGCATTCTCGAGAAAAGAAATTAATAAGACATGCTAAACTGTTTGATCACATTCTTGAAACATGGGCTACAAAAGACTAAACTCCATTTTCACTGCAAGCTCCAATACAATACACAAATACTAGTATTTTGAATACTTTTTTTGAAGATTAGTATTTTGAATAATGTTTGAGATCTGATTCATTTACCATTTTTCTAACATACAATCTGGTGGTCTTGTGGTCACAGCTACACACGTTTTTGTAGCTGTCAGGCAGTTGCCATCTGACGCATCCATAATAACGTGCATCCGCGGAACTAAAAGCTGATGCGGACGGTGGCGTCGACGCCCGGGCGATCGAGCTCGATCGATCGATGGATCGGCGGCAGCGGCTCGGCTCATTCTTATCCGCTGTAGCGTGAACGGGATGGCACGGCCTTGGGCCTTGGCCTTTTCGGCTTCGCGGGGCCGTCAGGGAACGGGCGAATAGACGGCGAAAACGACGGATCATCCAGTAAAGTGAAACCACCGGTACGGGAGCTGCAGGCTGCGTATTGCTTTACTGATGACTGATGAGTGTGCAGGCTGCGTATTGCTTTACTGATGACTGATGAGTGATGGCCTCTTTTTTTCCCCCTACTGCTGTTTTCGAGAATACGATCCTTGTTCATATCATTAGCACCAAAAAAAGCTCAGAATTATGCTCGCCTTTCTCTCAAACTAGCCAGTTGCCACGTTCCAAGATAATACTAGCTTTCGCCGACGTCGTTATCTGTTTCGCTTTAGTTGCGAAATCGACAGGCAACAAATGGGTACGATCGAGCTTGCTTAACAATGGGTCGGATGGGAGCCCCTGTTAGACGCTGCTGTGCACTGCTAGGCGTTTGAAATCGAAGCGCAGCCAGGCAGACGTGTCCGTCAGTGCCTGGATCAGTATCGTGATGATGCGGCGCGGCGGCTGGCGACGGGCGCGACGGCCAGCGACCAGACGTTACGCGACGGGCCGACGGCACGACGAGAGCTGGCTGGCTGGCCGGGCCCCAGCGTGTACGAGTACGATAATGAGTGAGCCCGTGGTCCCGAGGGGTTTGATGTGTCATTATTCCCCATCGATTATAAGCGTCGAGTTCGGTTTTGGTTCCATTCAGTGCATGGATCGATCGAGCCTAAATGACCCCACCACTCCTTTTCTTTTCTTTTCTTTTCTTTTTCTTTGGACGCTGAGTGACCCCACATTTCTCACTTTCTTGTCTTCCGGACAAGGGCCTTGTTTAGTTCCCTTCAAAATTCAAGTTTTTTCACTCTATCTTCATCACATCAATTTTTAGCCGCTTGCATGGAGTATTAAATGTAGATAGAAAAAACTAATTACATAGTTTAGTTGGAAATCACGAGATGAATCTTTTGAGCCTAGTTGGTCCACGATTGGACAATATTTGCCAAATAAGACGAAAGTGGTACTATTTATCAGGTTGAAAAAACTTTCAATCTAAACATGGCCAAGCTTATAGAGTTATAGTGTTACGATTTCTGTTGCCTTGTTTTACTTGCAAGCAAAATAGCTAGGAGTAAAGTACCAGGTTAGATTCGCATCACAACACAAAGTACTCCGTATACAGGGAAAGCTCAAGAAGTAATGCGTTCCTAATAACCAAAAAAAAGCGCCGTTGCTTAACGTACACACTCTTTTGCTGATACTCCTCTCTTTCGGTGCGCGGGGCCAGGGCCCAGGGGCACGGAGTGGCCGAGTGGCGGAACTGGAGATGCGTCTATCGGCTAGCCTACTGTCAAGGGCGCGCTGCATTTCAGAGCGAGACTGAATAATTTGTCGTCCTTTCTGCTGCAGATTACTTATGTCACATATCAGCTTGTCACAGATCAGCTTATAGACTGAATAATTTGTCACTGAATAATTCCGCTGTGCATTATCCCTTGGCCCTGTTCGTTTGAACTTATCATCCTTTATCGGCCACGGAACCGCTCAAATGGTTGGGAGGTGCACTTTACCTTGGCGTTTGGTCGCTGTAGGGAGGCCGGCCGGCGGCCAAACCTCAACAGTAGGCTAGGCATAGGCAGGCCGCTCGGGTGCGCTTCCGTCTAGGAGCACGCCTCATCAGAGTTCCCCGTCATCGGACCGCCTGAACCCGCGGGTGTGTCTGGATCTGAAACTTCCTGGAGTCTGAACTCTGAAGGCCGTGCACACGTACCTGCGTACCCCGGAGGAGTGGACGGCCGGTCAGGGCAAGATGCACTCGCCAGGCGGGTGACACGGATGAATATGATTGGATTCTGGAAAGGAACAGAGGGACTAGGCGGATTTGCTTGCATCCCCGGCTGTCTGATTAGCGTTTGCCCCTGTTCTAAAACTGCAAACTGGATCGGTGGTTCCTGCTGGTTCCAGAGATCGACAGCGAGAGAAATCGGTTGCCAATTTTGGGTTGGACAACACAGCACCGGGACTGAATCTGTGTTTAAGCAGCTGTTACAGCAATGGGTGCCCTGTGGCCGCACCTCCGGATCCACGGAACATCTGGAGCCTTGGCGCTTTCCCGTTGAAGCAAAAATAGTTTGTGGCACAGGTGGAAAAGAAAATCGCGTGCTTGGCTTGGGTCCTTCCGTCCGAGACGGAAAAGGTGGAAAGGTTCAGAGGAACGGAGCCGTGCAGCGGTCCACGGATGTACCAGACCCGCCGTCCATCCAGAATCCATATGAGAAAATCGAAGCTTCTTTTATAATTCATACTTTTTAGTTTAATTTTTTAGCTAGAACAGTGTCATCCTCACAACAAATGAGCCGAAACGCTTTTTTTTTCAGCGCAGCTAACGGCGCCCGAAAAACGCGAGCAGCTGGGGTGACCTGACCTGACCTGAGCAGCCAGCCAGCCAGCCAGCATGCAGCATAGCATGGCAGGACAAAAAAAGCGGGCCCAAATCTTGCATCGACACGCTGCCTAGCTCATCAACAAAATTAATCCGCGGAAAGATTCACAACTCCACAAACTTGGAAGACGGAATCTACCTATGCACAAGAGGAGTCTAATCTCCTAGCCTTTTTTGGGGTGGCCCCTTTACTCATTTTGCCTATGTACAATTCGGTCGAGCCGCCTCCTTCTCTGGTTGGTTTCTCTGCCTCGGCGGCTGCTGTCCTTCGATTGAGACGTTCGCGGCCGCGCATTCCGCACGGGGGAAGTCAGAAGTGGGTTTCCGGCAGGCGGACGGTGAGCTCGCTCACTGGTAGCCGCCCAGGCCGGTGAGCAGCAGCTCGTGCGGCCGCAGCAGCGTCGGGGAGGGCACGGGCGTCAGCGGCGTCGCGCCGAAGTAGGAGAAGTCGAAGTCGGAGGCGTCGGGGACGCCGGCGGCCGCGGCCCAGAGCGCGCCGGCCACCTCGTCGGGGATGAGCGGCGCGCGGCAGAGCGGGCAGGTGCGCTGGTCGTGCTCCATCCAGCGGTCCAGGCAGGTCCGGTGGAAGGCGTGACGGCAGTTGCTGAGCCGCCGCACCTCGTCACGGCCGCCGATGCCGCTGAGGCACACGGCGCAGTCCCCGCCGACGCGCGCCTCCAGCTCGTCGAACCGCACCACGGGGAGGACCTCCTCGATGACCATCGCCGGCACCGCCCGGAACTCCGGCCGGGGGTGCTGCTGCAGCAGCATCGCCGCCTGATGCGGCAGCGCGCCGTGGTGGTCCGGCCCCTGCGCGTCGCCGTGGTGGTGGTGGTGGTGGTGGTGGTCCTGCAGCAGCGCCTGGTGGTCGTCCCCGAGATCCAGCAGGTCGCCGAGGCCCACGGCGTCGAACGCCCAGAGGAGGAAGCGGCGGATGTACCCCAGCAGGAGGAGGAGGTGGAGCAGCTGCTTCGGGAGCACCAGCTCCGAGTAGCCCATCGGGAAACCCATGCTTGCCGGCCGCGACCGGGGCAGCGCTTGTCCGGATTTTGCTGGTTCCCTTGGCGTGCCCCGTTCCTCTTGGCTTGCGGTGGTGGCGGTGGAAGGAGGGAAGGTGGGGGGCGAGGCGATGTGCCTGGCCTGGTGCTTCCTGCAGATATGGCGCGGTGGCGATGCGTGGACGGGAGAGGCGAAGCGGCGCGGTGGCTATATAAAGCGCGAGGCGGAGGGAGGGGTGACGCGGAAAGCTTGGGGGACCCGCGGGGTCGCATATCGTAGCGCGAGCGCCGTGGTGGTGGGGGTGGGATCGATCGCGTGTTGTGCTCTCTGCTGGTGGTGGGCTGCTCTGCTCTCACCTGACCGCGCGGTGCCCGTGCCCGAGTGGCGACAGACCCACCCCGCGGGTTCGATCGCTCTCAACGGCTCCTCCGCAGTCCGCTCGCTTCAACACGGTCACACACTACCGCCCTCTGCCGCTGCCGGGTCGGTGCAATGCACCGTTCGCCACAAGCAGAGGAAGCACCTGTGCATCTCTCCACACCACCTCCCACGGACCACGGTTCCACGGTCCACACACGTACCTGCAGGCTGTAGATGATCACGTGAAATACGCGAGCAGTAACAGTCCATTACTGCTTGGCCGGCCGGACCGGAAGGGGTCAAAACTTCTCAGCAGTCTATGCGTCAGCGACGCCATGTCCATTTGCGTGGAGTGAGCTCCAGCTATTCAAAATTTAGCCTCCTCCTTGGACGGGGGAGAGCTGAGCTGGGCTCTTTCGCTCTTTCTCGCTGAGGGCACGTTCGGTTTGCACCGGGTCGAGCCCTGGAAAATTGATCCGTCCAAGAACGCAACTGTATTTTATATAACCAAGCATCCTGGAATGGTTCCAGTCAGGATTGGGCCTAATCGAACGGGCCCTAATGCATCTTTCTTTTGGACCTAGGGCGAGAACAGAGACGGCTCGGCCGTGCTGCACCGTGATATTTTATCGTATACCAGGGGTCGGTATTTGGGTAACCTGAAAATTTCGGATTAGATAATTCGGTTAATTAGAAATTACTACCCGATTCGACTATGAAAAAGTATTACCTAAAGTTTCGGTACCCGATAATTCGAGTTCAGGTTCTACCCGATTAGTCAAAAATTGACAAACCAACAATTTTGACAGAATTTTAATAGCATTTCAAAGCAATAAACAACAATCATTCAAATCATTTCATGCCTTCATATCAATGAACAACAAACCAATTATCAAGCTAGCTATACACTGAGCTATACCAAATAATAAATTTACACTGCAATGAACCACTTCATGTCTTCCTATTAGAAATAGAAGAACAAAGATTTTAGATATTTCGGTAATTTGGGTAGTTTGGGTACTAGAGAACATTACTCGAACAACCCAAAATAAATTCAGGTTTTTATAGTTATACTATCCAAAATTATAATGGGGGTATTTCGGGGTTGTGGATTGGTTATCAGATATTTTGCCCACCCTGATCGTATTTGTTCTCGCAACGCACCCAATTTCGTGGATTTTAGACACCTTTTCTTATCTGTTTATACGGCATGAGTAATAGTACAACATCAAGATTATATTAATAAGTAACACATCTAGTTATTTAACACATCCTCGCAAAAAAAGTTATTTAACACATACTTCATCCATTCTAATTATAAAACATTTTTTGCTTTTAAATACATAGTTTTTAATATGCATTTGGACATATACTATGTATAGATATATAACAAAAACAATATATTTAGAAAATCGAAAACGTCTAATAGTTTGAAATAGAGAGAACAAGTACCAACCAATTGTACAAGTTCTAAAAAACTTGATCCACGGTGGCTAGACAGCCCCGATTATTTCGGCTTAAGAAGAAAATCTTCTCACACAGATTGAGAAAACCCCTGAACCTCTCTGCTCTCACCCTTACACAGTGGCACCGTAGCTCCGTGAGATGAGCTGGCCAAAAACTTATGCTTTAAATGTGGGACAGACACGAGAGTTTCTTTCCCCTTCTGGTCGTTGTGGCCGAAGCCACGAGAGGAGTCCCCCAGGAGGCCAGGACTCGAACTTTGATCACCCCAGGAGGCAGATTCTGAGCCTGCATTGACCAACTCGAATCGTACAAGTTCTTAAGATAAACTAAACGATATAAAGCCTAGGTACCCAATATATTGTAGGTAATTAAATATGTGATACTTTACTATTAAGTATAGCCCTTATATTTTGGACCCTATAGTAGATACAGACGCCACACACGATTTTCATTTATCTCGGGCTCAATCCAAGACCTGTGAGTGCTATTTGTCGCCGGCACGTTGGTTTCTACTTTACGTTCTTGGCGTGGGATTTGTCGCGGCTGATGTCACCCGACATCTCTTGAAAAGCCAGAGTTAGGACCCGTTCGTTTCACTCGGTAGCTCCTAAATTTAGTAGTTTTTAGTCTTTTTAATAATTTTTTTGTCAAACACGTTACTAAATGTGACTAAAAGAGTTTTAGTCCTCTCTAAGTTAATAAAAATGACTAAACCATTTAGTAGCTCCTAAAATTTAGTAGCCCAAACCAAACACCCCCTTATTACATTAGGAGTAGAAGACAGAGAGTCACCACGTCGCTATATTTGTTTGGCAAGAACGGATTGGTGAATGAATTAATTTAATTTACTTACTACGCAGCAGTGAAAAGCAGAAAAAATTTGTCACTGCAGCAACTTCGGCGGGATCAGTGTTTTCAGACGTCGCTAGGCTAGTGGAATACAGACTCCGCAGTTAGCATCATCAGCTGCGTTAAGATATACTACACTCCTACAAAGCTGCAGTAGCGTAGCTAAACTAATCAAAGCGCTTATGGATTTTGCATGGACGGGCCCTCCTCCCCTCCTCCCCTCTAGAGAAAGTGCTCCTGCGGTCCAACTCCAACTACCTGCTGCAGTGCGGACGCGCTAATCACCGTCTTTTCAGTGCTCGCCCAGGTGATGTGAATCTCGGCTAATGTTTGTTTAATCTCAGCCCGTCGGTGCATTTTTTTTCACAAAGGCCCTATTTGGTTGCTGAAACTGACTGAAAAATATTGTTCTTACTAAACTGTTGTGAAAGAAAAACACTATTCCAATGAAAAAATAAGTCGAATAAGCCAGTTTCTAGATAAGCCGAACGGAGTCTAAGCGCTCGTCGGTTCTGCATAGTTAATAAATTGTTGCTTGCAGTACCGGTCAACAGTAGTGCGAGGTCTAAAGACGATTAAGAAGAGGTGAATCATTCCGTGTCCCGTTCCAAATGATCAGAGACCGGATCCTTTTAATTTCGGCCACTAAACAATGGCCGGGATAGCGTGTAGAAATCACCACTAGCCCCGTTCAAAAGGCAGCAGCAGGCCGGCCATCCTTATCGCCGCCTCGACGACGGGCTTTAAAGCTGGAAAAGAAAAGTCGCGCGCCCTGATGTAACCGCTGGATCTCCAAAAGATTTTTGCATCGGCGGCAGGCAGCCGTGTGCGTGCCCATACAATACAATACATACTAATCTTCAAGCCCTCATCTCAAGGGCGTTTCAGCTTCAATATGAGCTGACAGCTTTCTTGACACTTGATGTCTGGATGAGTGAGTGATCAGGAATTAAGGATAGCTAATGCAGTTCCTAATGCAGTTCAGCAGCGTGTTTGATTATTCCAGATTAATTTTGTGGGGGCAAAGTCTCGGCCGGCCAGGTCACGGTCAAACTCCATCAGTACCAGTGCACCATTATTACTGCACCTCCTTTTTGTTGAGCGAAGAAAAAGGAGAAGTCCGGCAGTGCATCATTAAATCAAGAGGGAAAAAATTGTTTGGTAAGAAAAAAGTACTACATGCAGTAGAAAGTAGGCAGGCGGTTTCAATTTCTGGTGCCATGCACGGACCGAAAGAGACATCCATCGGGTCGGTCTCCACGGTCAACCAGTCCAACTTGGACTTTCAAAGTCTGCAGCTGGTTTTCTAGCCACCGTGTAGGAAAATGCCAGCCCAATTGACGTCACGCACGCCTCGCAGGGTCTTGTTTAGATCATCTCTAAATTCCAAGTTTTTTTACTCTCTCTCCATCACATTAATTTTTAGACATATGCATGGAGCATTAAATGTAGATAAAAAAATAACTAATTACACAGTTTGGTTGTAAATCACGAGACAAATCTTTTAAGCCTAGTTAGTCCATGATCGGATAAAGTTTGTCAAATACAAACGAAACGTGCTACAGTATCCAGATTGCAAAAATTTGCAATCTAAACCAGGCCTAGACTACAGAGTGCCTGCAAGCTGCTGGATCCCGTGCAAATACTCCCAATTGCCATGAGACAAAAGCCCGCCTTAGCAGAACAGGGTCAGAATCTGAAATTAAACTCATATACTGAGAAAGCTGGTACCGTGCCAATCGAGTAAAGAAACAGCCACCTAGCTCTCCTTCGGTCCTCCAGACTATTTTTTTTCGCGAGCAAGAGCAAGCCTGTATTCCATTAAGAAGACAGGAGTGTTTTAGGATTACAACCTTGGCCAAAAAGTGGATCGGAAGCACTAAACTAAGCGGTACAGTACAGCAAGCCTTGCCTGCAAGAACGAGAGCCGAGAAGGCCTCGTCGATGGCACCACCAGAAACACCGCCGGACACACACACACACACCCCCGCTAAGGACACAACACTAATCGCATTCCAACAACCTTCATCACAGTTAGCGCGCCACAACAGGATTTGCAGGCCCGAAACATGTGCCAGGAAAGGGACGCCAGTTTGGTGGATTTGGTCCGTTCCTGACGAAGAAAAGCCTTTGCTCTGCTCGCGTCACATGGTGCATTGAACCTTACCCTTACCCTGCTGGCTGGCCTGGCCTGTGGCCTCCCTCGCGATGCAATGCAAGCGAATGTTCAAGATTCCAATGATTACAGTGACTGGTAGTAGTACTGAGGTCTGGGGCTACAAGCAAAGCTAGCACAGCAGAGAAACATTGCACGCGGCACTCGCCTCCGTTGGTGG